CTCCTGAAGCAGGGTCCGTGTGAACAGGCTGTTCTTCATGAATATCCTTAAACCGGTCCGGCACATGTGACGCTGGCAACACGGCTGCATCGAAAGACAGCCAAGGATCTTCATGCAATCTCATGTTTGATGTCAATTTTGGAGACAGCCCCTTATTGTTTCTGATCTTCCTAGAAAACCATGATGGGGGCAAGGTTGTTTCAGTTTTATGTCTGGTCAGTTGGCCTGAATCATCAGAACCGAATGGACTCTGACCGAGATCGATCCAGTACGAATTATCAGATGATTCATCCTCACTGAAAATCGGACTTCTCATGAGATCACCAACCGAAAAAGTCTCTGCTTCCTCGAAAATGGTGCTCACTCCATCACGATCCGAACTATTACAACAATCCATCTCGATCTCGAAAACATTCCTGACCTGATTGGAAGTGAAAACACCAGAAAAAGCAGGCATATGCGATCCACTGTTCCTCTCTGGCAATGATTCTTCATCATGTTTCGCAGTTTCATCTTCGAGTTCGGCTAAAACATCAAGCATATCTATGGACTCACTCAGGCACTGGGGATATATGGGAACGATCTTCACCATTCCAGACCCAGTATGCCCACATTGGTTTTTCAAGCTTGTCATCACAGATTTCTTGATCAAAAGGCATCCAAAACCAGTTGGATCACATCCAAACAACCTATAAAACGATGTAATAATAAAATCCGGTCGGAACAAAGACAAGCCAAGTGAATCCATGTCCTTGGGACCTAATGATCCGGCATCAAGCAAGACATGCCAATTGTTACGTTGGGCTAGCGACATCCACTGGTAAGAATACTTAGCCCCGGAAACTCTAGACTGAACCGGAAACATGAAAAGACCATTCGAATGGCCTTTCTTCTTCTTTTTCTTGTTCGAAATCTGCTTCCTCAGTTCCTTTGAACAAAGTTTCAAGGAAGGCCATTTAAACCAAGCATTGTAAACCTTAGCACCTTTCTCTTTAGCACATTGAGCCATCCAAATCACCGACTGGCTCTCGTGATCGAACATGGTCAAAAGCTTTTTATTCGATCCGAAAGGGTAAGCTTCGGCGAGCAATTTAAAAGCCGACCCTCTACTTACAGTGAAAACAAGGCCATACTCATTTGCAGGGATGTTTAAATGATCCAAAATCCTAGTCTTTATATCATGTTCTACAGTACCGGTCTCGGGCCCTCCATAAAGAGCATGATTGCTCAAATTTACAGTTATTTCAGACAAAGTAAATGATGATGAATCCCAACAATGTTGAGTTTGATTCAAAGAGAATAGCCCAAAACCGCAGTAATCAAGGCATACCTTAGCTGAAGGCTCAGATAAATGGCCATACTCTTCGACTCTCAGATGATCGACGGTCTCGGTTGCTTGAAACTTGGGGTACACGGCAAGGAACTTAGAAAAGGCATCATGGAGGTCTGGAATGGAGTCCTCGTCGCAAAAGGTTCGGTCTGCAACAATGGAGGCGGCATTCAAGAACTCATTTTGGGCCCGAAGTTTGGCAAGTGATGACCTTGATCGACCTCCATTGTTGCTTCCCTCTTGGTTCAAAGATGCGGAGTCGGTATCGTGTGATTTAGCGAGCGAGCCGTCTTCGGATGCTTCCTCAAGAGCTTCCTTGAATTTGGTTTCTTGCAATTGACGAAGCATGGAATGCTTTCTCTTCACTTGTTTCGAACCAGAACCATTTCTCCTCTTGGATTTCCTATCCGCCACTAGAGCTGCACAGTGGGATATCGGATTCCAAATTGAAAAATGCATGAATGGCTGCCTCTCTTCACTCAATCGTGGAACCAGAGTTTTTGCTTGTTCAATTCAAAGAAGCCTAGAAACAAAAGCAAAAAAGAGAAGTTTAAAACGAGAGCGGAAAGCTAAAGTTGTGTATGTTTTGTTTCAGAATCAAGCTTTAGCCCTTTTACTTTATTGCCTAAAACATTCAAAATAACAGCAAAACAAAGATTGTTAAACTAAGATTACTAAGAACTTTTATGGTATCAAAGAAGAAATTGATGCTCATTAAGAAAAATAAAATGAATACAAAGGCCGAGCCTTTGAATTCAATCAATTCCCGCGCTAATTAGAGGAGGTTAATACGAACATTCTTGCACTGAGACGCTGCCTTTCTCCTTCGTCCACCATTATTAAACCTCACCTTTTTCAGTGCACAGTTTTGCACCTCGCCCCATCAACTCAACTCTCTCATTGATGTGCTCATTTTCTCTTTCGCTTTTTGTATAGGACATGTGTCATCATTACATCATCTCTTTGGATATATAAATTTTGCCATATTTGAAAATATTGACCTTTAATTAATTAATTTTTCTATCTAAACATTTTATGCTAGAATAAAATATTAGGGTCAATATACTCTAAAAAATTATTAATTAAATATTAAGAAAATTTATATATCATGCCTAAATAATAGTCTTACCACATTTAACATGCGTTGTAGCTACATCAAGTAAATTAAAACCGTTGACTTATAATATTTTTTAAATGAAAGAAATCACACATATATTACAAAAAAAGATGAAATTAATTGTTTTGTTTTGTTTTTCAATTGACACATAAGGTGTTTGAGAGGTTATGTATTTATATTGATATAATCATTAGAAGAATAATAGTGTTAAAGTTTATTTGTTACGTTAACTTCTTTTATTAACTATACATGAATCAAATTTAGGCAAAAGTGATACGGCATTTCAATCACAAAATTTTCTAGAAAAGATGAGAGATATCAAAGGGAGTGGAGCAAAGTTAGAACATAAAAACGAAAACTTATGGCGACCAACAAACACCAAATGAGAAATTTTTGCAGTGCTTAACTGTAGAACTATGTTTCGATATAACAAATTAAAGCAAAATGTTTTTGGACTTGAAGTAAATTTATTCAAAGATTTCAAAAAAAATTTAAAGTCCATTAAATTCATATTTGAGCAAAAATACAAAGAAGTACCGATATTGCTTCATGTAGTATCGATACCACATGTATGAGTATCGATACCCTTTATGTAGTATCGATACCATAGGCAGAGTTAGTACCAATACCATCAAGGTAGTACCGATACCATCAAGGTAGTACCGATACTACCATGAAGGCTCAAACATCGAATGCAAAATGGGTACTGATACCATGCAAGGGTATCGATACCATAGTGCAAAGTAGTACTGATACCCCTTAGGCAGTATCAATACTACAAGGCTCCAACGGCTAGTTAAATTTGAATTTAACAAAGGTATACCGATACCCTATGAAGGAGTACAAATACTTCATATTCTGGACAACCTTATTTTGCAGGAAATTAATCCCCAACGGCTCCAAAACATCCCCAACGACTAGATACGACTTCAAACTTATTTCAAGCTATAAAAACAAGTTGAGGACACTTGAAGAAGAAATAGAACAAATATCCAAGCAATCAAACACAAGAGAAGAGCTTTTGATTCTTATTTTCCTTTCTCTTGTAAATATTTTGTTCTTGTGAGCTTAAATCTTGTAAACGCCTACCTTAGAGAGGTTTTCTTGTTTACATTTCCTTTCATTGTAAATGGGTTTTGGTTCTAGCTGAGCCTGTTAAAAGCCAGGGATAAGGTTCTAGTTTAGCCTGTAAAAAACTAGGGAGTTGTAAAGGTTATCTCTTTGTCCTGTAAAAAAAGAACAAATTAGTGAGTTTATTGGAAAATCCTTGGTGAGGAGCTAAGGTAATGGATGTAGACTTGGTTGAGAATGTGAACCACTATAAATCGCTGTGCAATTTTCTATCTTTCAATCTCCTTACTCCCTAAAACACAAAAACCGATCCGACCCTTCTTAGCGAACTCTTTTGATTATCGATTCGAGCTTCCACAAATACCAACAATTGGTATCAGAGTTTGACTCGTTAGAAGGCTTCACATCCTTGAGACGATCCTCGAAGAAGCTCTACCAATTTCTGACTCAACCGATAAAGAAATAGCTTCAACCTTCAGTGCCTATTATATTGAAGATTCACTTATTGTTGATTCACATTAGGTCAACAAGCCACCCTTATTCAATGGAGCAAATTATGCCTATTGAAAGAATAAGATGACGTTATTTATTCGAGCCTACGATCTAGGAGCTTGGAACTCAATCATGAAAGGTTACTCCACTCCACCCGGTGAGATAGATGATTGGGATGATTGGAGTAATGAAGAGAAGAAAAAGTTTCAGCATAATGACAAGGCTATGCACAATCTCTTTTATACTTTTGACCCAGATGAATATGGAAGAATCTCATCTTGCTCCAGTGCCAAAGAGATTTGGGATAAGCTCCAAGTCACTCATGAAGGAACCAACGAAGTGAGGGAAACAAAAATGAGTCTTCTCAACCATAGCTACGAGAACTTCAAGATGAAACCTGATGAAGACATCAAAGCTATGACAGATAGATTTTTCGTGATTGTCAATGGTCTCAGGGGATTTGGAGAAGTAATCCATAATGAGAAGCTTGTGAGGAAGATGATCTACTCTCTTCCAAAGTCGTGGTAATCGAAGAAGACGACCATTATCGAAGCTAGAGACCTAAAGTCTCTCACTCTCAACGAGCTAATTGGTTCCCTTGTCACTCATGAGATGATGTTGAAGGAAGAAGAAAAATGTGAAGAAAAGAAAAACAAGAAAAAGAATGAGGTAGACATTGCCTCAAAATCCACCAATGAAAGCTACCAAGATTCAAGTGATGAGGTGGATGAAGACGATGCTGAACAAGAAGATGAGATGGGCAAGCTCTTCAAAGAGTTAAAAAGATTCATGACTCCCAAGGAAGTGAAACATGAATCAACCAAGAAGAAGAGTCCCCCGGTGTGCTTCAATTTTCAAAGAACGGGGCATGTCAAGTATGATTGTTCCCTTCTAAGAAAGAAGGGATCATCTAAGAAGAAGGTGTTTGTTGCAACTTAGAGTGATGAAGATGAATCCAATGATGATGATGAAGTAGTCAACCTATGCCTCATGGCCAACGAAGAAGAATCTGAGGTATCTTCTAACTCAAATGAATTAAATTCATGTTATTTTGATGAGTTACAAGATGCTTATAATGTTTTGTATTTTGGGATATGAGACCATGAATTCCAAATATAAGAAATTAATTTCAAAACTTAAAAATTAAAATTATTTGATTTTGAAAGCAAAAGTTGATTTTGAAAATCAAAATGAAATTTTGTAAAATGATTTAGAGCTTTCAAAAGTCAAAATTAATGATTTAGAAAAAGAAAATTTTGATTTAAAAGTTAAGCTTGAAAGCTTAACAAAAGAAAAAGAATTAATTTCTAAAAACAACACATTATGTTTAAAAATGGAAAAATGCTCACATTGCCATTATAATGGTCATAAGGAACATACTTGTCATTTGAAGAAAGGAAAACATTTTAAAATTAGACAAGTATGGATTCCTAAGGGAACAAGGGGCATTGAACCTAACGTCCAAGGATCCAAAGCAATTTGGATACCAAAATCAAAATAAATGTCTCTTGTAGGTGTGTGGGAGCAATAGTGATGAAGATGATGAAATCAAGATGCTCTAGCCACACATGAAAAAGGAATGGGTAACCTCTAAGCTTAATGCTTTTGATTTTAGTTATTTGGTTGCTTATTTGGATTTAGACATGCATGAGTTTTGACTTTAAATATTATGCATTGTTTTAATGTCATGTATGTTGAAACGATGTTTATGATGAACATTTTAAAGTTTTAATGATTTTTCATAATTTTTAGTTCATCATAATAAATTTTGGTCAAAATTAGTTTTAAATTCAAATGACATCTCTCTAACAATTGATATCAACTTTTTAAATACTTTGATTTTATAAATTTTAAATTTTTGACCTAAAATTTGAATGTTTATGCATGTGGTTTAAAATAAAAATGATATCTATCTAACAATTGATATCAAAATTTTCAAATGCATAACATTTTTGGAAAGCTTTATGCATATGCACTTAATTTCAACAATTGATATTGCATAAAGTATTTTAGACTTGAATATATTGAATTTCATGTGCTACTAACATGTTTGTTATTCTTTGTTGAAATTCAATTTTGTTTAAGTGTCAAGCTCTTAAAACTAAATTTTGTTTGGAATGCATTTATTGAGGGTGGAGCTTTGATGTTTCAAATGATTTTTTAAATGTCAAACTTATTACTTACTCTCCAATGTTATTTTGAACTTTAAAGATTGAATTATTTTTTATAAAACAAAAAGGGGGAGAAGTATGACTTGAAAAATTCAATTTCTTAATGAAAATTATTAAGGGGGAATTTTGCCAAAAACAAATTTACAAATGTTTTGTTATATCAAAAAGAGAGAGATTGTAGAACTATGTTTCGATATAACAAATTAAGGCAAAATGTTTTTGGACTTGAATTGAATTTATTCAAAGTTTTCAAAAGATTTAAAAAATAATTCAAAGTCCATTAAATTTGAATTTGAGTAAAAATATAAAGAAGTACCGATACTGCTTCATGTAGTATCGATACCACATGAATGGGTATCGATACCCTTTATGTAGTATCGATACCATAGGAAGAGGTAGTACCGATCATCAAGGTAGTACATATGCTACTATGAAGGCTCAAACATCGAATGCAAAATGGGTATCGATACCATAATACAAAGTAGTACCGATACCCCTTAGGCAGTATCGATACTATAAGGCTCCAATGGCTAGTAACAACTAGTTAAATTTGAATTTAACAAAGGTAGTACCGATACCCTATGAAGGAGTATCGATACTTCCTATTCTGGACAACCTTATTTTGCAGGAAATTAATCCCCAACGGCTAGATATGACTTCAAACTTATTACAAGCTATAAAAACAAGTTGAGGACACTTGAAGAAGAAATAGAACAAATATCCAAACCATCAAACACAAGAGAAGAGCTTTTGATTCTTATTTTTCCTTTCTCTTGTAAATATTTTGTTCTTGTGAGCTTAAATCTTGTAAACACCTACCTTAGTGAGGTTTTCTTGTTTACATTTCCTTTCATTGTAAAGGGGTTTTGGTTCTAGTTGAGCCTGTTAAAATCTAGGGATAAGGTTCTAGTTTAGCCCGTGAAAAACTAGGGAGTTGTAAAGGTTATCTCTTTGTCCTGTAAAAAGAATGAACAAATTAGTGAATTTATTGGAAAATCCTTGGTGAGGAGCTAAGGTAGTGGATGTAGACTTGGTTGAGAAGTCGAACCACTATAAATCATTGTGCAATTTTCTATATTTCAATCTCCTTACTCCCTAAAACACAAAAACCGATCCGACCCCTCTTAGCGAACCCTTTCGGTTGTCGACTCGAGCTTCCACAATCCCAACACTAACAAACTCTCCTCTAGCCGCTAACAGTTTGTTTCACTTTCTTGTAATAATAATAATAATAACATCATAATCTTTCAATTTTCTAAAACAATTCTTCTTTATGAGCAACCTTGGTTCACTCCAAGGCACCAAACATGACCGCCTTGAAAACACTACCATTTCTTCGGGAGACGTCGAGCTACTTTCTAGCTCTTATCTTGATCGCTTCTTTCCTTCCTTAGTCTTCATAGTTGTTTTCATTTTCCACTCGTTCCCTTTCTGATTCAGAGATTGCATTCATCGCACGATGCCAACACTTGAATCTTCACGAAAGTGATGATTTGAACGATAGTTATGAATCACATGTGAAGCTTAATTTCATGTTTGAGAATTCCGGGATTTGTCGTGCTTACATTGCATTTCAAGCATGGAAAATTGCCATATATTCGGACCCTTTTAACACCACAAAGAATTGGATTGGTCCCAAGGTTTGTGATTACAAAGGGGTCTTCTGTGCACCATCCCTGAGTGATCCCAAGTCGACAGTCATTATCAGTGTCGATCTTAACCATACCGACATTGCTGGATATCTACCTGCTAAGCTAGACCTATTGACTGATTTGTCTCTGTTGCATATAAACTCTAATCGATTTTGTGGGATCATTCCCAAGAGTTTCTCCAAGCTTACTCTTCTACATGAATTAGATGTTAACAATCGTTTCGTTGGTCATTTTCCCAGAGTTGTTATATCAATACCCTTACTTAAGTACCTTGATTTAAGGTACAATAACTTCGAAGGAGAATTGCCTTCAGAGTTGTTCGAGAAGGACTTAGATTCATTGTTCTTGAACAATAATCGGTTTGTATCAAACATCCTAGAGATGTTTGGCTCTTCTCCTACCTCTGTCATCGTTGTTGTCAATAATAGGTTTTCTGGTTGTATTTCGAACATCATCGGCAAGATTAAGAACACATTGAACGAGATTGTCTTCCAAAACAACAATCTCACGGGCTGCTTGCCAATGGAGATTGGGAATCTTGGAAATGTAACGGTTTTGGACATCGCTTCGAATATTTTCAACGGTGTTTTGGCAAAGACATTTAAAGGGCTAGGCAAAATTGAAGAACTTGATGTTACAAATAACATGTTGACGTGTTTCGTGTTAGATGAAGTCTGCTGGTTGTCGAGCATAAAGATATTTCGGTTTTCTTACAACTATTTCAATGGCGAGGTTGAATCATGCCTACAATTGAAGGGGAAAGACATTGTCTTCAACGATGTTGGTAATTGTTTTCCCGATAGGCCTAAGCAGAAGTCAGTTAAAGAATGTCAACAGGTGGTAAGTCGACCAATCGAATGCGGTAAGTCAAAATGTGGTGGCGGTGGCGATCAACCACCACCGAAGCCACTACCCCCTAAACCGAAACAACCTCCTATGCCTAAACCAACGGATGATGATGACCCTTATGACCAATCACCTGTTAAAAGGCAGTGGCCTCCAGTTACACCAAAAAAATTGCCTCCACCAGTTGTTAAGCCTCCTATCCACTGCCCTCCCTCGCCAGTTATTTCTCCTCCACCTCCAGTTTGTTCACCCCACCTCCGGTTCACCCTCCACCACGACCAATGTACTCTCCACCTCCTCCAATTCAATCACCACTACCACCACCACTAGTCCACCCTCCGCCTCCTCCGGTGCATTCTCCGCCACCTGCCCTTCGAAAAGGAGTAATTTTACCACCTAATATCGGTTTCAAACCCAATATAGTAATGGGAACATATTGGGTTTCACTTGTTTTCCACAATTTTTAGTAGTTCTACAATGTTACAACATAAGCATAGTGCTGTTTAGTTTATAGCCACTAACCATTCCAAAAAGAGATTATTTATGGTTCCCTCCATTCAATATGCATTTCTGCAAATACTAAAAGAGAAAATAACTTCAGTGACCGAAAATGTCTTATAATATACGATTTTAACCAACTTTTTTTATATTTGCGAAAATAACCAACAAATTCGCAACGCGGACTCCAATTTCGCAACTCAGTTTCCAAATTCGCAACGCGAATCTGTAAATTGCAACGCGAACCTGTAAATTGCAACACAGAAGTCAAATTCGCAACACAGAAGTCAAATTCGCAAAGCGCGTTTATTTTCACAACGTGAATTTTATTTTTGAATTCGAAACACAATATTAGTTTCACAACACAAATATACACACTATAATCGCAAATCATAACCTAAAACACTAAATCACAACTCAGTCCCATCTCCATCTCTCACTCTCTACAACGAAATCCGTCCCCATCTCCGGCGAAATCTGTCTATCTCCATCTCTCAGAGCCACCCTCACAACCATTCACGGTCAAAAATAGAAAATCAACTATGGAGGGTTAGTTTTTTTAATTATTTTTATTTTGAAATTTTTGTATTATTATTAGATTTTTCATATTTAAATTGATGATAAATTTACTGGTAATTTCAGTAATAGATTAACCATTTCACTTAGATTTCTTAGTAAATTCATTCGGTTGCTGCAAATACTGCTAAACTATTTAATATTTAACCCTGTGAAGTTAGTATTTGTATTTGTTTTGTCTTTTGGTTGAAGTAATGCAATTCATTCAAGTTTCAATTTGCATAAGACTATTTGAAACTTAAATTCACAACACGAAAATAAAAATCGCAACGCGATTTTAGTTTCGCGTTGCGATTTTCATTTCGCGTTGCGATTTTAAGTTTCAGAAACTATTATTCTTCTGCAAATTGAAACTTGAATGAATTGCATTACTCCAACCAAAAAACAAAGACAAATATTAACTTCACAGTGTTGCGAATTTAAGTTTCAAGAATAAACTACTACTCTTTATGTTGTCCTTGAACCTGCACTAAACCTATATGTTGTCCTTTTAAATGTTTATATAAGTGCTTACTTCTGGAATTTTATCTGATGCATTTTGTGAACTGTGATAGAATAATGACTTGGGTGAATACTGTGCAAGTTTGAAACATATTTGGCTTTGTTTTCACTGTTTAATATCATGTCTGTTTATAGTGTATAATTTGTAGTTTTTGGTATATCTAACTTGGTATGTTTATTGTTTTTGTAGAAATTTTTTTCGGCTTCATTGACCTTAATGAATAAATTAAGCCTAGCCACTACAATTGCGTCGACGCTTACACCTGTACAAAGAAAATTGTTTGAGGATACTTGCTTCGGGCCATGGCTGAAAGTACAACATCTGGGTGGAGATACTATGTTGACCCATTTGTTTCTTTAAACCATGACTAACAATCTACCCGAGAGGATACAACGTGGTGATGAAGAGATATGTTTCATTTTCCTCCGGCGTATACTTGTTTTGGGCGGGAGGAGTTTTACTTAATCACTAGTCTACGCTTCGGACACGATGATGTAGGTCGGTACACTAGTCATATCTCCCGCCCATCATGGTTATCTCGGGTTTTTCCTGAGCTGGCAAAGGCGAAACCGAGTTTACACGTCGATGACTTGAAGAGATTATTTGTTAAAGATGGTTTTACTCAGATGGATGACCTCGATGTTGTCCGAGTATGCCATTTATTACTTTTGCATGCCGGCTTTTTAGGCAAAGAGGCCAGACAACCTATTTCTGAGTGGTAGAGGACCTAAATACATAGAACATATTTCCGTGGGGTTCATATCTATGGAAAGCTACCTGGAAAAAGTTGTCATCTGCCTTTGAGGACCAAAAATGTTTGCGTGGCCATGGTTCCAAATACACTTTTGCAGGCTTTATTTGAGCCTTTAAGGTAAGAATTTCTATATAATGTTTCCAAAATTATAATTAATTATGTAACAATTACTAATGTTTGTGTATTATATTGTTTGTAGATTTGGATATTTGAGGCTTTTCCCAGCATGCAGACATATGCAATCAAAAATTCAAATGATATTCCTAGGGTTATTTCCTGGAGGAGGATCCGACTGTTGGATTGAGAAGAGTTACTACCATATACGACGATGAATGAGGTAAGTTAACACAAATACTACCATATATAAACAAGTTATTACTAGTAGACGTTTAACTTTGTTTGATCTTTTATATTGTTAGGAGGCCAACTATCCATTACAGAGGCTGATACCCACATAGGCTGAGCTTTCCACTGATTGGTGGCAAGCTAGTAAGCATTTTTTTGATGGCACGAATGATGAGCAACCCCCACTTCGAGAGCCATCACCTCACCCAGAGCCATCACCTGATCAAGCCGATTATACACCTCAACAATGAGAGTCATCAACTATTCAATCACATCATCGAGCCTCTTCTCCACCATCACCTCATGATAGGCGACTGGAAAAGATGCCATGACATTTATCTCCTTATTCTCTACCTCCACGGGATGAGTTAGGGGAGTTAGGTGATGAGGTCAATGCTTTGCGTGAGGAGGTCGGTACTTTACGTGAAGACAATGGTGCATGGCGTGATGAGGTACGGTCTTTACGTGGTGAGGTAGAGGTTTTATGCGATGACAATGGTGTTTTACGTGGTGAGGTATCTACTTTATGTGATGAGATAGCCGCTCTACGTGAGATTATTGCATCGTTGTAGAATGAGGTTCATACTCTACGCAATGAGGTAAGTTTGTTTAATACTATACTAAAAATGCAAATAACATTTTTTCGGCATTATTTATTTGTTTATTTACTGATTTATGTATTAATTTATTTTTAGCGGCCAGATAAGGTAGATGCTTTACGTCGGGTTTTTCTTGCACGACGGGGTTTACGCATCAGACGTCGTACACGTGCCATTACGTCTCCGTTCACCCCAATAGTGCCAAGACTCTATAAGAAGAAGCCCGAAGCACCTATCATCGTTCAAGAGGCCTCTCCTATCGTTTAAGAGGTCCTATCATCCTTCAAGAGGCCCCTCCCACCGTTCAAGAGGCCCATGTCATCGTTCAAGAGGTCCCTCCCACCGTTCGAGAGCCCAATTCACATGGCATAATATGTCGACATATTGATAAACCCCTTCAAGTGCCCGACATGATGGATGAGAGTTGCCTTTCGTATGAGTTACAGGTCAGTACCATTCCAGTATCTGAAGTGGAGAGGAGAACACTACCGGACACAATTCTGGATAATACCCTTTGGGCTAAGACCGCAGTTGATTTTTATCTACATGAGCGGAGCCAGGGGTGTTACACTGACATATGCAAACTCGACGATGACATACATTTGTTTCTTGATCGGTCTTGGTGGGGTTTGTTATTAGGGGTTAAAGATAATGACTATTTCAATGGGGGGTAAGTCTTATATTCTTCTTATATTGCATTTTGATTAATTTTTTTTAAATTTATGAAATTCACTAATATATGTATTTTTTATAAAACAACATATTGATGCATGAGTGTCACGTCTTCTGATAATAAGGAAATTGAAGAAAATAAAAAATACGCAATGGACTATTATGCCAACGTCTTTTCACGTATCTCACTTGAAGGATCAGATAGATACTTCATATGTGTTGAGTAATGGAAAAGCTAAACTTTATCCTGCGTGGTGGGAGGTCGATAAGGTTAGTATTTATTTTTGAATATTTTAAAGGTGTTAATAAATAAAAATTTGATGTGCGCAATTGAATTATTATTTATGATTGCAGGTGTTTATCACTGTTTTGAAACGTCATCATTGGCTTCTCGTTGAGCTTCAGCTCTCATCCCTGAAGACAATGGTATATGATAGCATGTTGAATTACATACCATTGTCTGATTTGAGAGATATTATTTGTAAGGGATGGAGCACTCATTTGGCTAAATACTTGGATGTGATTGATTATTGAACTAATTTTGGAAACAAGAAGCCAAAGAAGTTCAAAGTTACAATGATCAGAGACGAGACCGCGCCACAACAAACGCATGGAGCCAGAGGGGATTGTGGTCCTCTCGTATGCATGTGCTTGGAATGTTTGACGACAGGAAGTAAACAGTTTCTACCTCCCACAGATAGAGATAGAGGTGCAGTAGGCTTGTGGTTTCGACATTTTATGGCTAGAGCGATATATGCGAGACGCTGCCTACCTGCATCCGCGTGCTGAAAGTGTGTATAAACAACACAAATTGGTAAGTTTGAGCAAGTGTTGTTAACATATATACTCTTTGTTGGTTTGAAAATGTTTGATTAAGTACCTAGATAATTTGCTGTTTGTTGGTTTTAGATGTGTAGAAAGTGTTGTTTGAGCAAATGTTTGGTTTCTACAGGTTAATCCTGATCCTGAAGTGAGCTGCGTGAAATTGATGTATTTGTGCATAAATAAATGTCTGCATGAAATTGATGTATTTGTAAAAGTTGATTTGTGCATTAACAAATAAAATACACATAATACAACGTTTGCATTTAAAAATCACCTAAGTTAATAAGTCTCAAAAAGTGAAGCCGGTTGTGATTGAGATTTTGATTTTGATTGCGATTTTGATTTCCTTTTGCTTGGCACCATATGAACATTCTCCCATGACCCTCTAAAACACAAATCTATCCAAACATGATCAACATTAGATGATTTCATTCTACAAATTGTAAATTAATTTACGAAACAAATGAGATATAAACTACATATCATCACTAACTTAGAGAAGAACATACATTTATTAAGTTGATAATTTGGGAGATAAATCATTGAAAAATTATATAGA